TACTTACGGTTTCCTGCCTAAGGTAGAGCAAAGTTGTTCTAAACGCAAAGCCATCAAGTGTTTTTATAAAATAAAGCCAATATTTAATTATTTATTAAAAAGGAACCTTCCAAAATCCCATTAAAGACATCATTTTAAGTCATCCCAAAACAATGATGACAGCCGCCAATTACCAAAATCAAGAGATTTTGAGTGGGTTTAACACTTTTTTCAAGAATAATCTACAACCTTGAGCCTTATGCCTTCCTAAAACCGGTTGCATGCACCAAGAATGGTAGCAATTATGGGGAGGGGTTTCATGCTCAACATTTTCAAGAACTTAGATTTTAACACAAAATCAACATCTCTAAGTAAATTCCAGAAAAGGAAACAAAACAAATAAGAATTTTGATTCCATCAGGCTAACAGGATGGGAAATCCTATTTAAAGATGCATGCAAGATTCAATCATCCAAGAATATGATCGGACCTCTCATGCAAGAACTCTCTTCTTCTTTCTTAGGGACTAAAGAATCTTGGTCACTAATTATCATCCTAACGAAGACACATGCAGGTCTTTGATGAATCATCTCTCCTCTTTAAATCCCATAAATCTTACTCAAAGAATCGAGTAGGGAGAAGGATAACGAGTTTCGAACAACTAAAGAGAATAAACAGCTTTTAAAACATACCTTTTCTTGGTCGAAATGATACGAACAAATCTTAAGAACAACCGAAATCTTTGAGCTTTGCAAGGAGATGGAATCGGTTGGAAGTTGATGAATGTTAGAGAGAGAGAAATGAAATGGCTGGAAATTTTGAAGGATGAAGAATTTTCAAAACAGAAGGAGGTATTTATATGGGGCTTCAAGAGAAGGAATGGGCTGACTCTAAAGGTCCAGGCCCAAGAAGGATTTTATTTACTAAATACACGGCCCCAATAAATACAACAAACAAAACAATTTTGACAAAAGATTTTTAAAACTCCACTCTTTCAAAATAATAATTGGCAACCAAATATAAAAGATTGGAACTTTGGAAATTTGAATTTTAAGAAGAACGAAACGAAAATATCAGCTTTATTTTTATGTGAAATATTTCAAGACTATTTGGCATTGCACGAAGTAACTTGGTTAGCTACCCACCGAAACGTGACCTAACAAACTAATCTTGGGAGATGATCAAGATGATCACAGATCATCGAAGCTAAATCCTAGAAAGACTTAGTTTTCAATAAAGGTCCTAAAATGAGGTACTAACCTGAAATTCCAAAATGCAGAATTGTCACATGAATTAAATCTTTTTGAGCCCAGTTGAGATTATTAGGCCTCAGGAATTAATAGGCCTCATGAATTAAATCTTTTTGAGCCCAGTTGTGATTATTAGGCCTCAAGAATTAATAGTCCTCATGAATTAAATCTTTTTTAGCACAGTTGAGATTATTAGCCCAATAAATCGTATTCCAATTCATTCTCTTACGATGGCCCAGAAAATACTTTCTTCCCCTTCCGGTTCCAAAATTGCACATGACTATCTTAAAGTAAAATTAAATAAAGGGATTATTTTTTAAGTAAAAATAATATGTGTATAGATTTAAATCATTCGTCCTTTTTTAATTTTTCAAAAGAATGAATATTTTTTTTAATATATGTGTTTCGTATTCTATCTTTAATTTGTAGAAAATGGATCCGCATTCTTATGCCGAAGTATTTTCATCAATTACATCAACCTCATGTCTGGTGGAATTTTTTTCACTCTTCGTGTAGAATTTGTTTGGGAAGATGTGGAAGAAAAAAAACTATATCTTATCTTTCTTGACCGAAACGTAGGTGAAAATATTCATATTTTAATTTTGTTCTCATTAAATTTCTCTTTATACTATACTGACAAATATAATATTATATATTTTATACATTAGAGAGACAAAATGGCAGCAATTGTTTCATGTGGTTTACTGAATTTGTACAAACAAAGAAATTTGTTAGGAGGTGTTTTTTCTTTGGAACATTTTCAAATTGAAGGGACTTGCCATGAGTACCCAAGGTATGAAAAATATAGTCTTGTTCGTGGTGAATGGATCATCATCATCAGTAAAAACACCAAGTTAATCCCGCTGACGGATGATATTGAAAGAAGGTTTGTGTTATATCCATCGGTGCCTTCGATAAAAACTCTTGTTGAAGATAGGAGTACAAGAAAGATGAGAATCGGTAGATTAAAATCTTCTATTAAATTTATATATATTTCTCATATAAAATCAATATTTAATATTTAGATTTAAATATCTTCTGTTATATGTTGTTGGAAAAATAATAAAGGGAGGACGAGTTAAGTATGTGCGGGACGATCGTGTCTTTCGATTGGGCTCGTGTGATYTATTTTTACAAGATGGAACGTAAGTTTGCATTTTGTATAAAAATTAAATATTTACCAAATTAACAAATTGTTTAAATTGTTTTACTAAGTTTACTATTTTAATAGGGGGCACATGATAAAGTTGCGGTTGTACGATACTCAGCATACACGTATTGTGCGGATTGCTCGAGCCATAAAAAATAATTCTATATTTTATGCATCTCGGGTTAAACTTATTCATTTAAATTCAAGTATGTTATATATTATTTAATAATTTATGTTATATTAACTTTACTAAATTTATATTTTCTAATATTTTCAGTGAATATATTGAGTTCTACGGCGTTAACCAAAATTGTGATCGATCAAGATATGTCGGAAGCCCACAACATAAAATTTATGTTGAGCTAAAAATTTGTCACCAAGTTGGTTAGGGTTGAGTGTTTTTTGTGATTGTTTTGGAGATAAAAACATGTGGAACTTTTATGTTATTTTGTATTGGTTGAATGATATTTTGAACATTGATTTGTATTCAGTGAATGTTTTATGAATATTTTGATCATGAATTTCTAATATTTTCAGTGAATGCTTTTTGTGATTATTGTGGAAATAAAACCATGTGTAACTTTTATGTTATTTTATATTGTTTGAAACATTGAGTTTGGTCTCGGTCAATGTTTTTTGAATGTTTTGTAAATAAGTGATGCCCGACAATATTTATTTATTTTATGTAGTTATGGTGCATAATGAGGATTGTTGATGAAGGAAGTGCAAATGTTGATGGTCCTAAAGTTGATTTTGATATAGCAAAAGGTATGTGGAATATATAATAAGAATACATTTTAATTTTTGATGTTCTTACTCAATATATATTTAAAAATAAAATCTAATACAATAGACTTTATTATGCAGAACAAAAAGAGATGGAGAAAAAAAGAAAAATTGCGTTTGGTGAAGGAAATAGTCAATCAATGTCAAACATGAGAGATATCTCTCTAATTGAAACAATACAAGAGAATATCAATGAAACAACTCCTGCCAGTACACTAACTTTTGCACAAAGGAGAAGAATTATTAATCAAAATTATTATCGACGAAACAAGGAAAACGTCAACAGTAAATACCTCCCGGTTATACACACTTTGGAAAGTTTTGTGTTCATATAAACTTTAGACTCATTGACATTTTCTTTCCGTAGGCATTATAAATAAGCGTGGAAGATTGCTACCTCTTTTTGACGAAGTTGTTAATCAAGAATCGATGGGTTAGTATTTCTTTTCAAACTCGATCTTTTTGAACTCGACTTTCGTAGTTCTTTATTATAATAATATTTATTTGTCCTATCCAAATATCTTACATAGCGCTTGGGGAAGAAAGTGGTCAATCTATGACACACATAACAAATATCGCCCTAATGGAGACAACGCAAGCGAATATCAATGAAACAACTCCTGTCAGTGCGTTAACTTTTGCTCAAAGGAGAAAAATTATTAATCGAAACTATTATCAACGAAAAAAGGAAAATGTTGTTAATAGTGAAGGAACAAGGCAAGCATGTTCAGTGTTGAGACATGAAAATGTCAACGGTAAAAACCATACATTTATTATTATTTTAGAATCTTTGCAATTGACATAAACTAGAGGCTCATTGACATGAAGTTTTCTTTCTTAGGCGTTCAAAATGACCACGGAATACTGCTACCTCTTTTTGATGAAGCCGTGAATCAAGAATCGACAAGTTAGTATTTATTTTGAACTCTATGTTTTTTTAATTCGATACGAAGTGATAATATAATCTTCACTTTTCATATTCAAATTTCTTATATAGTGCCTGGTGAAACAACTCCTGTCAATGCACTAACATCTGCTCAAAGGAGAAGAATTACTAACCGAAACTATTATCAACGAAACAAGGAAAATAATAGAAATGTTGAGATCCAACAGGAGGATCCATACCATTTTGTTTATGATGGTGTCCCTAAACAACATCGTGTGTTGAAAGAACAAAATGCATGTGAACATTGTGGAGCAAAGCAGTTCGAATTTGAATTCCCTTCCTTTTGTTGCATGAGTGGGAAGACAAAGTTGGCATACTCACCCATTCCAGAAGAACTATACAATTTATTTACAACGCAATCAGAGTTAGGCGAAATGTTTAGGCACAATATTCGTGCATACAACACAAACTTTTCCTTCACGTCAATGGGGGTAACTTTGGATAGTACAGTGAGCAATATGACATCTAGAGTATATACATTTCGTGCTCAAGGGGGAATATATCATAGAATCGATCATTTAGTTCCTAGGGATGGACAACCTCGGTACTTACAACTTTATTTTTATGATGCCGAATCTGAGCTGCAGCATAGACTACAATGGCCAAATCTTAATAGAAACGTCATTGAAATGTTGACTCGTGTTCTTTCTATAAACCCATACGTGAGAACATTTCGAAGCCTTGCCGAGCTAGGACCACTTGACAATTATAGAGTCACTTTGAATGCTTCTGTGGAACTTGACCAGAGGGTGTACAACCGACCGACCACATCTGAGGTTGAAATACAAGTACTTATTTTATCTCATTTACAATAAAATGTATCATATGCATGGTATTGAAGCAAGTTCTAACATTCTACAGGTTGCTGGTATTTGGGTGGAAGGCAATGACGACATCACTGCATACAAGAGAAGTATTGTTGTGTATGGGAGGTCTGACTACAGTAGAAAAATTGAACATCACTATGGTTGCTATGATCCTTTCTTTTATCCTTTGTTTTTTCCCAACGGTGAGTCTGGATGGCATGGTAGAATACCTAGACATGGAGTGTGCATCGATGAACTTGTTAATGACAACGAAATCTTCGACGAAGATCATGAAGGTATGAACATTGTCACGTATATTTTTTACCTTATTCACTCATTTAAAGGATCTATATGATTAAAAATCGATACTATGCAAAGGTTAGCTCAGGAGGGGGTAGGAAAACTGTAACAATGCGAGATTATTATTGTTACAAGTTCCAGATTCGGTCGAGTAATAACGTCATTCTATTAGGCAGAAGATTATTTCAACAGTTTGTGGTAGATATGTACATCAAGACAGAGACTACACGTTTGTCTTTTATTGAAAGGAATCAAACAAAGATAAGATCAGACTTATACCAAGGTGTTGTGGATTACGTCAATGCCGGTGAGGTTCAACCAAGTAGAATTGGACAACGGGTTGTGCTTCTTGCAAGTTTTATCGGAGGCCCACGTGATATGCGAAGAAGATTTATGGATGCTATGACTTTAGTTCAAGATGACGGGAAGCCCGATATATTCCTTACCATGACGTGTAATCCGAAGTGGCCTGAAATCCTTAAAGAGTTATTGCCTGGTCAAACCGTGCAAGATAGGCCGGACCTTGTTGCAAGGGTTTTTCGTGACAAATTAGAGGATCTTAAAAATCAACTCTTCAAGAAGCACATTCTCGGCGAGGTTGGGGCATATGTTTATGTCATCGAGTTTCAAAAACGTGGTTTGCCACATGCACATATCCTCGTGATAATGAAACCGAAACACAAGATTACAAACCCAGACCATTAGAACAAGATAGTTTTTGCTGAAATCCCGGACCCGACAAAGTATCCTAAAATGCACGAGCTGGTGATAAAGCACATGATGCATGGTCCTTGCGGCCATTTACGACCGTCTAGCCCTTGTATGGAAGGTGAGCCGAGAAAATGTCGTTTTAGATACCCTCAACAATTCAACGACAACACGGTGCAGAAAGATAACTCATATCCGATGTATCGGAGGAGAGACAATAGAATAAAAGTGAACGTCCGGGGCAATATCCTTGATAATAGATGGGTGGTCCCATATAATCCAAAGTTGCTAATGAAGTTCAACTGTCACATCAATGTTGAGGTTTGCTCAAGTATAATATCTGTGAAGTATGTGTTCAARTATGTTTACAAGGGTCATGACAAACAGGTTATTCATGTCGATCCTGATAGAGAAGAGGTCATTGTCAACGAGATAAAGAGATTTCAAGATGCACGATATGTTTCGCCACCTGAGGCAATTTGGAGGATTTTTAGCTTTTCACTTTCTCAAATCCACCCTTGTGTGATGGCTTTGCAGGTCCATCTTTCTAATAAGCAACTGGTTAGGTTTAGAGAGAATGATATAATGACAGATATCGTTGATAGAGAGAGAGAGACAAGAGCTCAATGTTGACCGCATTTTTTGAGAGGAATAAAACAGATATGAGTGCGAGACAATATTTATACAAAGATTTTCTGAAACATTACACATGGAATGCCAGTTCACGTAAATGGAATCCTCGAAAACAAGGATCAATGAGAGGACGACTGGTTCATGCTAATCCTGCCGAAGGAGAACGATATTATCTACACCTACTTCTGTCTCATATAAGTGGGCCCACGTGCTTTGAAGATCTTTACACGGTTAATGGCATAATACATCCAACATTTCTAAAAGCAGCACTTGAGAGAGGTTTAATAGAGACCGACGATAATTTATCACATTGTGTTGCTGATGCCTCCTTATTTCAGTTTCCCACTGCTCTTAGATGATTATTCGTGACGATCTTAATTTATTGTGAGCCGGGAGATGTTCGCAAGTTATGGGATGAACATTATGATTCACTCTCTAAAGATTATAGACGAGACTACGAAAATGTTGAGGGAGTCCAAAATATGGTTCTTACAGACATTGTAGTCTTTTTACAATCAATGGGCAAAAATCTCGATGATTTTGATCTTCCAAGTTTAAATGTCGCTGTCAATTTAGAATCACGAGAATTTCATGAGGTACAAGAGGAGTACTCCATAATTGTGCAAGACGAAGACTTAAATGCTTGAAACTCTCTAAATTCCGACTAGAAACATGCATTTGATGAGATCATGAGGCATGTAGATAATGATTGTCCAGCTGTGTTTTTTGTAGATGGACCGGGTGGAACTGGAAAAATATTTGTGTATAGAGCTTTGCTAGCTAATGTTCGTTCCCGTGGACTTATTGCTCTCGCAACTGCTTCATCCGGCGCTGCCGCTAATAACATGCCAGGGGGGAGAACAGCTCATTCTCGATTCAAGATTCCGCTTACTCTTAGTAATAATTTGATGTGCAATATAAAAAAACAAAACAGAACTGCTCAACTACTTCAAGCCGCAAAAATAATCATCTGGGACGAAGCATCAATGGCAAAGAGGCAGGCAGTAGAGGCACTCGATATAACAATGCAAGACATCACTGAGGTGAGACTTCCATTTCGTGAGAAAATAATGATTATGGGAGGTGATTTTAGATAGGTGTTGCCAGTAATCAGACATGGCACTCGAGCACAGATCGTAGACTCAAGCTTACGGATGTCACCTATTTGTTCTTCGATTAAAAAGTCGAGGCTAACGATCAATATGAGAGCCCTTACTGATCCATGGTTTTCGGATTTTCTGTTACGTGTCGGCGATGGACATGAAGAATCAGTAGACGGAAACTTTATTCGCATACCTGATGACATGGCCATTCCTTACACAAATAAAAATGAATTGAAGGATGCTTTGATTGATGCAATCTTTCCTTCTCTTCAAACCTGCGAGACTGCTTCAGATTATATCATTTCGAGGGCGATACTAACAACTAAAAATGAGCATGTCGACGAGATTAATGATCAGTTGATTGAAAAATTTTGTGGAGAGGAAAAAATTTACTATAGTCTTGATGAAGCAGAAGATGACAAGAATAACTTATATCCGATGGAGTTCTTAAACTCACTGACTGTTAGCGGTTTGCCCCCTCATTACCTTCGGCTTAAAATTGGATGTCCAATAATACTATTGCAGATTATCGACCCCTCAAATGGATTGTGTAACGGCACGAGGTTGATATGTAGAGGTTTTCAGCAGGATGCTATCAATGCAGAAATAGCTGTTGGTCAGCATGCTGGTAAGAGGGTATTTTTACCAAGAATTCCTATATGTCCGTCTGAAGATGATATGTTTCCCTTTAAATTAAAGAGAAAACTGTTAGGATTGAAAATCAATATTAATTGTATTCGTCTTGAAAGTTAAATATAGTCTATAATTGTAAAAGTCAACGTGTTTGACTTTCTTATAGAAGTTTGACTTTGACTATTGTTTAGTATGTTGACCATATAAATAGTAGGTGGTCTTTGTAATTAGATGAAAAAGATAGCTCATTTGTAAGATTTCATACATAATAGAGGTTTGACTGATTTGTAAGGATTGACTTTTTCTCTCTCAATGTTCTTCATGTTCTTGAATGCCATATCTGAGAATCTGCCATATTGTTATGAAGATTGAAGATTGATCAGTGATATAGGGACTCACAATTGGTATAAAAGCGTGTTTGCAAGAAATCAGAGGAAGAAATCAAAGATAAGTGAATTTTTTTCTGAATTTTTTTTGTTCTTCGTGTTTTTCATTTTTTTTTTATTTTGATCCGAATTTTTTTAAATTCTTGTGTTTTTGTGTTTAAATAATTATCAAAATGCTCGAAATTGCATTGTGAATCTTTGTTATTCACAAAGATTTGTGATTTGATCATTCGTTTTTTAATTTTTGGTGGATTTTGTTTTTTAGATTTTTTTTTGTTCTTGAATTTTTTTCTTTAAATCAGTGTTTTTGATCCATTTTTTTAATGTTTTTTCTTTTTTTGTGTTTTTGATAGGTTTTAATCCTCTTGAATTTTAGTTTGGTTGAATTTTTTTGTTAATCCGTTCAACTTGTCCAAGGCCCAACCAGTTTAAGTCTGGACCAATAGACTAAACCGCACACTTTCCTTCTTCTTGTTCCTAAATCAAAGGAGACATTTAAGCAGAGGAGTCTACACCACACACTCCTTGACCGGAATATTCACCGTTTGTTTTCATCGTATCAATCGATTTCTAGTCTAAGTCTAAATCGCACACAGCTTGATCGGTGTAAGTGAGCGGATTCATACAAGTCTTGAGCGGTTTAAGCTAAACCGCACATCATTCCATCGGATTCGTACCACTCTCAGGTAAGTTCATCTAAGGTTTAGTTTTTCAATTTGATTATATCTAAACCGTTTACCTCTTGAACGGATTTGTGACCGAATTAGATTTATTCTTGACCGGTTTATGCTTAGTCTTGAGCAGATTAGTGAATAGTTGAGGACTTAGTAATCTGTGCATCAAGGTGTCTGGACTTCTAAACCGCTCAATTCATATTATCCAGATTCTAAATTGTTCTCTGTTTCTTGATTCATTTTGACAAATGGCTAAATATCTTGACTGTTTTGACAAGAATCGATCAATTTAAACCGTACCTTGTTTGAGCGGAGAGTTATCCGCACACTGAGTGAGCTGGTGTTTGAGTGATTTAGTGATTAAGGTTGAAAGAATACTTAAGCTGAGTAGTTAACTGGAGAGGTTTAGTACAATTCTTGAGTGATTTGAGTTCATACTTGTATGTTTTAAGCTTAATTATGAACGATTGAGTTCAATTGTTTGCTGCCTTCATTGCTCAAAAATAAACAGGTCATCATTTTCATGAGTTCTGTTTGGATTGGTGTTTTTCAATCAATAACAGTCGCTTAATCATTTTTCATTACTCATCTCTGTTTTTGATTTCTAGATTACTGCTTTGATTGAACAAGTTGCTGTTATATTGAAAATTTGGAACAGCAGCCCAGGTGACTGTCAGCATCATTGATCAGTTTTGATTTGTTGTTCATGTTTTAATCTAACAAGAAACCAGGTTGATCACTGTTACTTGCTGGTTTCAAATCTTGTTACATACTGGTTGATTGTGAGTAGTTCTTTATTACACCAGCAACAAAGGTTCTCTGCAAGTTTTGTGATTGTTCTTTATCACACAAACCACACACAGTTTCTCTGTCTTGATCAATTATTCTTGCTGTTTCATTAAGGTTTTGAGGACAATTTTTTTTAAGACTTGAGCAGCAGCAACAACAGTGGACAGTTTTGTATTCCTTTTTGTGTATATCTTGACAGAAAAGTAAGATACAAAGAAAATTCACAGTAGACTATTTGCATGGCTAAAATGATGAGCTTCTTTCAGCTACACAACAGCCCAAGTGGTAACAAGATAACAGTTTTGAAGCAGAAAATTTGTTGTGGCAAAGTCTCTAAATCTGATTTACCAGGTGGATAAACTCAGGTTCTTCTATGCCCATATTCTTCACATGATTAAGTTTTGGAAGTGTTATGTGTTTTTGATTTATGTTTCTGAGTTTATGATTGAGTTTGATCATTGATGCAGAAACAGTTTATGCAAATTCAGGAAATGATGATAAATCTTGCTAGTGATTAGTTTCTGTTGATTTCACTTGACAGCCCTTGCATTAATTAGCCTGGAATTCACTCAAGATTTTCAATTGTACTGCTTGGCATTTTTTTTTCACTTGTTTATTGCACAAATCATACTCAGATTCAAGTTCTTGCACAGTCTTGATTGCTGTTGGTATCTTGATTGTTGTTGGTATCTTGATTGCTGTTGGTGAGGCTGTTACATTTCAATTACAGAAGCAACTGTTTAACAGGTTTACTATTACTGTTTGTGGATTTGAGGACTGATACAGAAGTGTTTGAATTGATTTCACGAAAACARGACTATTCAAGTTTGAGGTTTTGTAAACTGTCTTGGTTTTGCAATTTGAGGACTGAAACAGCAACTTCGTTTTGCCTCTTTAAGCTACACAGTTATACAGGACTGAAACAGCAGCTACACAGCTTTACAGCTACACAGGACTGGCACAAAAGCAGTTTATACAGCAGCAGCTGTGTGTTCAACTGTCTTGACTTTGCTCTTTGGGATTAAGAACATCAACAAGAAGTCACAGCAGCCTGTTTAGAGTGTTGTTGCTATTTGTTTAAAGTTGTAGAATCATACAGTATCAAGGACATCTCAAGCTAGCTTGGACCTAATAATTGTTCTCTGTTTAAAGCGTAGATTGTATTATATTTGGTCTTGAATAATTGTTTTGGACTTTTAATTTTTAGGTTTATAATTGTTTGTGATTTTAAAATTTTATTTAGATTTTTTTTGGATCATTTCGTGTATTTGTAATCTTTTTGTGTTTTAACTGTTTGAGAATATCTGAACTGTTTTGGATCGCGTAAACTGTTTCATATCAGTTTTAACTGTCTTTGACTGTTTTTAACAGTTTTGAACTGTTTTCAACGGTTTTGACTGTTTTTACTGATTTTTGACAGTTTCTCGTCGTTTTACTAAATTCTCATCAGTTTTTAGTTTTTTTTATTCTTTTTGAGCTTAAACTGTTCTTATTTCTTTTATCTGATTTCACTGCATAGATCCTTATCTGATCAATCTAATTTTTGAAATGGCAGTTTTTTATGCTAGAGAATATCGTGAGCTTAAAGAAAAGTATGATAAAGTACATTCGGATTTTAACAAGAATATATCATGGTCAAATCATCTGAATGGCATTCTTGAGAGAGAGAAAGAAAAAAAGAGAGTTTTGCAAGACAAGCTGAATGAACTGATGAAAACCTGTGCTGATCCAGAAGAGACAGTTAGGTTAAATAAACAGATTGAGGATTTAACAATTATAGTACATAAATCGGAAAGTGAATTGTTTGATGTAAGGAATTTACTGGAGTTAGAGAAAGAAAAGGTTTTAGAGGCTGAAAAGGTTTTAAATGCTGAAAGGAAAGTTTTAGA